TTAGTCGTATAAAAATGTATGATTTTAAAAAAGAGGCGTGGCACCCAACCCCGCCCCTAAACCTAACCCTCATTGGGGGATGAGCAAATCATATTAAATTGTATGAATGTGAACAAATCGAATAAGTAGCCACAAAATCAAAAGAGTTTGCCGTGAGATTGCGTTAAAAAAAGCACACAAATTTTGATAAACCAATGTTAGTATGATTCAAAATATAAACCATGCACTATGAACAGGTTTACACATTTTATTTCCCAGGTAGCAAAGAATTCTGGCCCAGATTTGGCATAAAGCTGGCACAGCAGGCATTCCTCCGGCACTGGCATACAGCATATGGGCCAAATATGTCCTGCATGGGTTTGGCAGAGGTGGCAGCATCTTTAAGGCAACAAATAAAACCTGGGCCAGATATCAAATGTAGTATTTGGCCCAGATGTTTAAAATGTAAACGTGTGCCATGTTTGGTCTATCTTGACCCACTTTTAAAATACATTTTAATTATTTTTGAGTAAAGAAAAAAATTCTACCAATCGGTTTGTTTCGAGAAAAAGCGCGGTTTATAAAATTCATTGCAGTCATGACACACCAACATGTCTGGCCCAGTTCAAGCCTAGTTATGGGCAGGGCCAGACGGAATCTGTGGACGTTTTTTGCTATTTCTTCTGAGAATTTAGGTAAAAATCAGCGGATTTCTGCTGAATTATTTTGGGAGTATCATATCTAAATCCATAGTGTGTGAAATAAAAATTTAATCTTTTTAAATGTATTTAATGTATAAAACGCAAATCCAATTAGATTCAGTTTATTTAGTAAACAAAGCAAGTTTCTCACATAATATATCTACTAAAAGACATCAGATAAACATTTTCATATTAGTCAATAATATTACTGTTTTTAATTTAAAAACTGATTAAATATAGATTTACACACATTTACTCAAGCAAATAAACAACTGATGATGGCCTAAAAATCTGCGGCAAATCTGCAGAATTCCGTGTGGGCCTAGTTATGGGTTACTACCTTGGCTAAGACTTGGTCCAGATATAGTCCAGGTATAGCTCTTGTCTGGAAACCAGACTTGGTCCAATCATGTACAATAATTCACTGTAGCATGTGGGCCAAGCAAAAGCTGAATGTGTGGGTCAGATCTGGGCCAGGGACATTTTGCTATGTGGGTTGTTATGATGAGTGTTTGTCACATCAGACAAAGAGATTTTCAGTCTGAAGATTCTCAATAAAAATACTACAAGGGCTACTTTCTATATGTATTATATTTCATGTTCAATTTATCTTGAATTACCTAAACAGCGCACTGGTGTCCTATTTCTGAGGGGCCTGGAGTGAAGCATTTCTTAAATGTGCAGCAGACAAACAAACAAACTGTCAAGGTCAAGATATTTACCATTCTGTGATACTTTTGCATTTTTTTTTTTTTTTTAAATCTTTTACCTTTCAAACAATCAGCTGCTAAATTCAAATCTGCTTTCCCGCAATGGCTCATGCTCTGCTAGGGAAAGATGTGTGTGTGTTCAAACAAATAACATTCATTTTATCACTAATCTCAGAGTATATAGAGGAATCAGAGAGTGTAATTAAATACATTATAATACCTTTTTTAAGACTCTTTTCATACATTTTAAAACCTTATAACCACTTTTCAACCGGAAACACTAGCGTGATTTTAACTAACAGCATACATGCTAAATATTAATGTAAACTAAAACTAAAACATTATTTATATACTGAATAAAATTCTATTAAATCTAGCTAATTCAGCAGGTTGGCGCCTATAAAACTGCAGAAATAAGGGTGTTGCCTTGGTTTACTGCAGTAAATAAGGCAGCATGATGTCAAATCTAGTAGAATTTTATAGCAGATTTAATTCAGACAAACTTTAGCATACAACTAGACATTGCATAATCAAAGCTAATATAAAATTTAATACCTTGCAAAATAGCATTTACAACTTTTTCATACTTTTTAGGGGCCTTAAATTTCTCTACATTGATTTATCAACTTTTAATCCTTTTTAAGATCCCACGGACACCCTGTATCTATTATATCTAGCAAAACATAATATTCATGGTTTATAAAACATGCAGCGATGTCTATGAAAATGAAAATAATAATTATACCTTAACATAATCGAATTTTGTTCTTTATTTACATCTGATTTTTCATGTATTTTGGGAGAGACTGATGAATTACCATGTTGTAAATCCATCAGCTCCAATTTATCAGGAAAACATGGTGCCACCCATCATTGGTAAGTCAAATAATATGACTACTATTAAGCTGCATGTTCAAATGATGCATCACATGTTTTGACACCTTTTTGAACAACTATACATTAGTGGTGGGCCGTTATCGTTGTCAACGTGCTGCGTTAATGCAAGACTCTTATCGGGTGATAAAAAAATATTGCCGTTAATCTATTTTCAAAGTTGGTTTGCGAGCTGGGTCTGCTCTACGCAAGCTATGATAACTTTCGCTATGATATTTTAGAGCAGATGTATACATGACCAAATTGCACTGTAGGGGGTGAAAAAGAGTCTTTGAACCTGTGTGTATTCCTACTGTGAAATTACCACATCAAACGTGACGTGCTAACATGGATGCAGTTCACTAGAGTGAATCTGATTAATGTTAGCTACACATCTAACTATCAGGCACCTGTAGAATTTATGCATTCAAGTTAAACATATACAAATAAAATTGAGCGGGTGCTTTTTAAAATGAATGACAGTAAAGGAAAGTGTGACACAAAAAGTGCCCTTCTGGTTTAAATCAGCAAGATGCCCTTCTGGATCTTTCACTTACTTCGAAGACACTACTGACTACGCTTATATGGTCAACTGTAATAATCTAGTTATTTGCCTTAATAGACAATAAAATAATTAAGATGTTTATGGAAGTGCTTTTATGTAAGAGTTTCCTGTAATTTTGGGTGACTTTAACTGCAATTAGGCAGTTTTCACTCATGAACATTTCATTCATGCCCCCGTGACAAACTGGGGTATTAGACGCAACGAGTAAGGACTGGTGAGAGTGTTATGGAATTTTTTATCGCAAGCCAAATGAAAAAAAAAAAGTCCACATTTCGCAATGTGTGTGTGTGAGAGTGTGTGTGTGTGTGGTCCTTTACTGACAGCCGCATGTGTAGATCTTGTTGGAAAATATGGCGAAAAGTCCTACATGACGTTAATAGTTTGATTGCCGTGTTTACTTCCATAATGTCACTAATATATGCATAGTCCACGTCTTAATTTCATTTCTGTTTAGTTCAGTTATGGCTTTAGTCGCATTAAGGTAATCAAAATTCTGAATGCCTTCGGCAGAATTCAAATGAGCCATTTTAATCTAGATTAATCTAGATATATTCCAAGATTACAGTGAGATTAATCTAGATTAAAAATGAATCTATGCCCACCTATACTATATATGCATTAAACTAGGGCTGTGTTATTGGATAAAATCTATGCATCGCCATGAAAACTTTAAAGTGTTGGGATACAAATAATGATCATATTAAAAAAATCTCATGCAGGGGTAAAAATTATGTAACTTATTTGTGAAAGGATTAAAAGAGGCTAAAACATCTCAAATGTATCAAACATGTTCAGTTCAAGACAATTATCAGATTTCAGTGTTTGCTCTTTGTGTTGTAATGAAACAATAAAAAATATGAAGTTCCCCAAAACAAAAAAACTAAATGAGAGGCAAACAGGAACCACATGGGAAATTTCTGTTTTCCCTGAGGTGTTCTCTCTCCCTCTGTGCTATTAGTTTATATTCAAAACGATGCTGTATCTTTATCGTTATCATCATATTGTTCTTGACCTGGCTTCAGAAAGACAAATAAGATTAAGTTACCTGTCACACCAGGGAAAGTAAATCCTTTTCAATGAATTAAGTGATGTTTTATAAACACATTTCGGGAGGAGCTCGTCTTTGACGAGGCTAATTCATCACACACACAATCATTCTATTATACAATAAGCTCAAAAGCAAACCCCTATAATAATAATAATAATAATAATTCCTTACATTTATATAGCGCTTTTCTGGGCACTCAAAGCGCTTTACACAGTGGGGGGAATCTCCTCATCCACCACCAGTGTGCAGCATCCACCTGGATGACGCGACGGCAGCCATTTTGCGCCAGACCGCACACCACACACCAGCTGATTGGTGGAGAGGAGACAGTGATGCAGCCAATTGAATATGGGGATGGTTAGGAGGCCATGATGGACAGAGGCCAGTGGGCAGATTTGGCCAGGTATAAATAGTCAAACACATCATACTTCCATTTTCTCTCGACTTCAGCATCCCTCCACAACCCCAATTCCACACTATTAAACAGATACCTATTTAAATCTGAGGGGGGAGCTTTCTGGAGCCGGGCTAGACACTGCACTCGGACCCTATCTCTCTTTATCCTGATAAGGGGAATAACACGAGTTAGGGTGTATTCCCGAGCTCAAAGCCCTCTTCCCGGACAGCACGCCAAATACGCATATTCTATTAATTCTATTTAGTTAAATATCTGCGATTGTGAACTCGTGAATCTCTGTGAACAATATCATATGGTAGCTGCAGTCTGAATAAATGAAGAGCAAACTCCTAGCAACATGGTGCTACCATGATCGTAGCATCACAACTCATTATTTCAAACCAGTTTCTATCAGAACAGATATGTGAAATGTTTAATAACCTGATGGACAAGCTCGTGTGCAATGACACTGGCCACTCGCTGCTTGTTGACCGAGGATGACTCCTTCTCATCGAACAGCAGGTTGGTTTCTCTGTAAGTGATCAAGCCCCAGTTCTCCATCGCTCCTGTCCCAAAGTCTGGGATCGCTATCTTATCTGCAGCAGGGACAAAATGTATCTTATATTCCTTTGTGACATTGATCATTGCAGAGAGAGACATGATACAAATTAGCTGATAAGATAAAATGTGATATGAATCAGTGCAATTTGGATGAGATTGTTTTAAGGGTCAGTGAATGACAAATGAGAAGTTTTTAATAGTGGCTAGACTTAAATCTGCGATCTCTTCGTATAGTTTTGCTTGCATATGATTAAGAAAAAAGTTTCATTACATTGTCAAAAAAAGCTTAAAGAATCCCTTAAATTTTGCATTATAACCGGTCATATTTTGGTTTTGGGGTCTACAACAACAGGCTGATATGCAAGGTCAAAAAAGGCTTTCATTGTTTGTCCAAGTGATTTGCTTAGTGCTTTATTTGCTCCCAAACCCCTCCTTAGCGCGATGCTAATCTGCGTTAATTGGACTAATGACCCGGCCTGTTGTGATTGGTTGACTAGTTTCAGCGTGACACGCCCACCTCGGCATATTGTTCTACTCTTAAACCTAACCCCAAGTAATAACAACACACATTCAATACTAATCCACACAATGGCAAACGTTATACTATTTTATAAAAAATTGACCGCATAGCGCGTGTGAGTAACAGATTGCTGATGGTGGCCATAGCAAAGACAAATGGCAGAAGATCGCAACTTCAGAAACGCGTTTAAAACTGTAAAGGTAGAAGCATGGGTCACATTTTTAGGCGGTTTTGTATGCAATATGTGAATAGCCCCAAAAAGATTTAACCTGAGAGATACAGTACAAGCACTGCTCTATGGCAGATAAGTGATTACAAGCCGTGTGGGGCGATAACAAGTTAAAGCACACAAATAAGCACATATTTTGCAAACTACACAAAGTGAGACAACAATTATAATCACACTTACAAGTTATGATCCAGAGGAAGAAGAAACTGGTTCATAAGAACTGTAACAGTTACTGACAAAGTCCTATACAAGATAGTCTTTGCTGCTCCTTCCTTTATGGCAAACGGCCGACAAATGCCATGTTGCAGGATAGGTTATTGTATCAAAAATCCGAAAAATGACAGGAACAAACAGCACTAGGTCGGCTATACTGCGGTATTGTTGTGAAAATGAACTTTAACCCACATCTGACCCTCTATTTGTCATTGAACGTCATCTTTGTGTCATGATCAGTCCCGTAATCCCCCGCACTCCGCTAGTTTCTTAAAGGCACCTTCACGTCCGAGTAAAAGATCCAAACCCAAATTAATTAATTTTTCGACTATTTCGTGAAGGAATAAATAGTTTTAAACACGGTGGACTTTCAGATTTAAACCTCAGCTGGATGTTTTAATTCACTTAGTGCGGTGTTAAAGGTCATTTTCAAAAACCCATAATAGGGGATCTTTAAATAATGACTGAAAAGGAAGAAGATTTATTGGTTAAGTGATTGTCACCCAATATGGATAAACCGAATGTTGGGTTCATTTTTTCAATATAAATGACAGTTTGAATTTGTCCATATCATAAATGCTTAGGGAGGTTTCCCACATTATTTTTTATTTAGTGAACAGGCTTTAATATTAATAATTTAATAATAATTCAAAAAGCAGGAATAATTTAATAATAAATCAAATTCAATTTTTTTTATAATTCAAAAAGCAGGAATAAATAGTAATTATATTAACAGCTATTGCATTCTAATATTTTATTTGATGGTAATAAACATGTTAAGGAATTATATAAGGAAGTAATAAAACTATTCCCACTTACAATACTAAATAAATTTATTTTTAAAAAATCATTATTTTTAGAAGAGTTAAAAATTACCACTAAAATGTATTTTAATTTATGAATTTAAAGCTTTTTTTAAGCACTGGATTCACATCATGTATTAATTGTTAAGCCTTTTTTTAAAGCCAAAAACAAAATGATGACAAATTAGTACCTTGCCATTGCAAGACAGCTTACAATATACTGCTGTATGACTAAAACATATGTGCTATGTATTACCAAGTTTTTGTATTGAATATTCCATGTCGAAATATTCCTCAAAGTAATCGAATATGACCTGTGTGACATCTGCAGCATATGCAGCCGTGGAGATCTGCAAAGGCTGAGCATAGATCCGCAGCTGAGAGAAAGAGAGAGGAATTATGAAAATCTAGTCAGGAACTGTTCTAATTAATCAGACATTAAAACTCATTCAGTTAAACAATGAAAGAAAAGGCTTACCGGTATTCCTCTTTTCGAGGTCCGCTCCACAAAATCGAACTGATGCACCGCAAAACACACCAGATAAGTGCTCATCTTTACTGACTTCATGAAGGATGTTTTAGTCTTTTGTTCTGAAAGTTTTTCTGTTTTCTGTGACAGAGAAAATTAGAAGTTAAAGACCTATTTGGGAAACTGAACAATATATGGAGTTCACCATAGACATAGTTCACCCTAAAATAAAAGTCAGACATCATTTATTTTACGGGAAGTCCTTATCCGATCATGTGGTTTCAGACTCAATAGGAAAGGCACATTAACATCTAATTAGGATATATATATATATATATATATATATATATATATACAGTTGAAGTCAGAATTATTAGCCCCGTTTTGATTTTTTTCTTCTTTTTTAAATATTTCCCAAATGAAGTTTGACAGAGCAAGGAAATTTTCACAGTGTTTCTGATAATATTTTTTCTTCTAGAAAAAGTCTTATTTGTTTTATTTTGGCTAGAATAAAAGCAGTTTTGAATTTTTTAAAAAGTATTTTTGGGACAAAATTATTAGCCCCTTTAAGCTAGTTTTTTTTCCGAGAGTCTACAGAACAAACCATCGTTATACAATAACTTAACTAATTACCCTAACCTGCCTAGTTCACCTTATTAACCTAGTTAAGCCTTTAAATGTCACTTTAAGCTGTATAGAAGTGTCTTAAAAATATCAAGTAAAATATTATTTACTGTCATCATGACAAAGATAAAATAAATCAGTTATTAGAAATAGGTTTTTAAAACTATTATGCTTAGAAATGTGCTGAAACAATCTGCCCTCCATTAAACAGAAATTAGGGAAAAAAATAAACAGCAGCGCTAATAATTCAGGGGGGCTAATAATTCTGACTTCAACTGTATATATATATATATATATATATATATATATATATATATATATATATATATATATATATATATATATATATATATATATATATATATATATATATATATATATATATATATATATTTATTTATTCTCATTGTTGCAGAGACGCTATTGATTAAAAGGCTTTCTTTTATTGAGAATGTACAGCAATGATCTAAAATCTTTATTGCCAGTTATATTCAGGTAAAAAATTCAGGTGAATAATGAGAATATCTTATAGTCCAAAAAAGTACCATATATTACAATCTGCATATTAGATACTGAGCAGTTTATCAGTTGTCATATATATGACTTGTTGGATGCAGGAGAAATAGTCTCCCACTGTGCCATTTTTATCAATTTTTTTGTTTACATGCCTGCTGGGTATTTTAAATTGAGGTGCTATTTGTATTTGTATATATTTATAATTTATGTTATTTATTACTTGATTGTTCAAGTTACCTCACAGAGGTGCTCGTTGTGTTAACAGATTTGTTGAATGTTAAAATAAGGTGAATTAAATAAAAATAAGGAACATCCTGGATCTGTTTCTTCACTTTTCTTTATTCTTTTTTTATGTATTATAGAAGTATCGGATCAAGTATTTGTATTGCTTGTGGCAATGATCACTGAGCTTTTAAACAATGACACACAAATATTGTATGTAACCTCTTTTTGATATACATCTAGGGTTCAGGATATGGGAAAAACTAATTCAATGCATAATTTCATAAAAATTTTTAAGTGAATGCTAGATTATGCAAAACTGTGTTTTTGAGCCTCTATTTGCAAGGAAGTTTTCCCCAGCTCACCTCGAATAAGCATGTTTTGAACACAAAATGCATTCAGCATAGTTTCTTTCATTAAAGTAATTATACTTGTATTCTTGTGGCATAGAGTGCATTGATTCATTATGTTAACTTGTTCTCTGATACAGCATCTACACAGTAGATATGTGGAATAAATAAGTTCAAAGATTCTCCAGATTCTCCAGTTTTATATGCTCATATTTAATACAAAGAAATTACGCCTAAAATGAAAAGTTTCATCATATTTGGAATGGTAAATATTATATATACTGGATGTAAACTGAACTTTGACTTGTTTCCACAGTCGTGATCTACTATTTGTTTGTATTTTGTTTTTAGAAACAGACTCAGAAATATTTATTCAAATCTACATGATTCGGAAGTTGCTGAGACATTTATTTAAGTAAGTTGATGTACTTAAAACAGAAACAGAATATCGAGTAGGTGGTGGGACTTTTTTTGCACATTTCCTCATAGCAAACTAATGATGAAGGGCGTGGCTAAGAATATTGTGGCTGAAGCCATCAAACTGACTTCATCAGAGAAGTGTTTAGATTGATATTGAAGATTACCAAAACAACTTTTTTAGAATTAACCTGCATGGATTCATTTTTAACCAAAAGAATAACAATGAGCACTAGCAAAAAAAAACAATGTAAATTATAATTTCACTTTAAACACTTGCACTGTATTACAAATTATTACGCAAATGACCATCCACTACTCCATCCCTCTGGACCCTCCTGGGTTGCACTAAATAAGACTGTTTGAAAATCTTCATGTATTTCTGGGCCAACTGCAACTGTTTCTGCTTGTGAGCATTGGTTAGGGTTGGTTTGGTTATATGCACAATTTTAAGCTTTTGGAGGATCCTACACCTTTCAGTTTACGAGTCTTCAGGGACACCAACAGTTTCAAATAACTTTTTGCTGCTTTGTAAGGGCATTTTAGCAGCTGCTTTTTTAATACAGTGAATATGTCTGACAGAAACCTTCTTCATTCTGCCGTTATCTGCACAAACCCATCTGTGCTTCAGCCACAAATCAGCAACAAATCTTTTCACACTTTGATGATTACGCATAAGTTTTCATGAAATATGTCTAATGTCTTCATATCTTGTCCAAAGCATTGCACTATTTGGTCAGCAGAGAGATCCTTCTTTTCCATATTGCTTGAAACATGTGGCTTTCTTAATAATGTGGAAGGTCCTTAATTAGTTTTCCTTTAATTGGGATCAACTGGCAAATTAATTATCAGGGGAGTCTGAGATTGATTTCAATGATCCAAAGAGCACCGAGACACAAGACCATTCGTGGCTTTTATGTTAAAAGAAAACATGTTACTGATATATAAATTTACTCTTCTTATTTTTGATAACATTGATAATTCATGGCATCTCGATCTGCCCTGCTTTTGCCCATTTTGTAAATCTTCCTTAATTTTGTTAGCAACACTCGTCTTCCAATGATCTTCCAATGATCCAAAAAAACAGTGCTAACTGACAGTATAGTCCCCATATCTATACAGGGGCAAAAGGATGCACACAGACAGCAGATTAAACACCCCCTACTGGCCTTTCTAGTACCCGTCATAGACCTAGTTTATGTGGTCTCCCACTAACCAGGCACAGTCCTGTTTAGATTCAGTGGGCTACCTAAGAGCTGCAGTAAGCTAGCTGTGTGCCAGATATAAAATAGTGAGCTAGCTATGCCAGATGTTTTTATATGTATTATCAAATACCATAATTACCCTTCCCCCTCAAAAAATGTTTTTCCACTTTTGGTCACATGGAATGCCTTTTGGGAGGGGCTATCGGGCCATCTCAATTTTTGCCCTGTTTTTGTCATTTGTAAATCTTCCTCCATTTTGTTAGCAACACTCGTCTTTCAAGAATCCAATTGGTTCCCAAAGGGTGAAATCATGCACCACCCTGCATTTTTGACATATAATGATATTGAATTGAATATCAATGATATTGAAAAAAAAAAGACGATCTTTACTTCAATTTCATGGTGACTTTAAATTTGATTGGCATAATATTTTGGAACACAGTGTATATTCAGCAGTTTACATGTGCTTGTTGCCTTATTAAAAACATAATTGGCAAATTTCATTATATATTATATATATATATATATATATAATATATATATTATTATAAAATGACATCAGTTTTTTCTGTTTATGTAATTTTTCTGCTTCCCAGAAAAAATTTTTATCAGTGTGGAATCACGAAAGTGCAGTAAAGCATATAAACAACACAAACCACGGGCAAAGTTAGTTATTCTGTAAATTTTGGTTTGTTTTTTTATTGAAAATGTTTGTTGGTAGATGACATACACTCACTGGCTACTTTATTAGGTATGCATGGCAGCAACTCAATGCATTAAGGCATGTAGACATGGTCAAGGCGATCTGCTGCAGTTCAAACCGAGCATCAGAATGGGGAAGACAGGGGGTTTAAGTGACTTTGATTGTGGTTGTTGTTGGTGTCAGACAGGTTGGTCTGAGTATTTCAGAAACTGCTTATCTACTGGGATTTTCACGCACAACCATCTCTAGGCTTTACAGAGAATGGTCCAAATAAGAGAAAACATCCAGTGAGTGGTAGTTCTTAGGGCGCAAAGGCCAGACTGGTTTTAGCTGATAGAAAGCAACAGTAACTTCAATGACCACTTGTTACAACTGAGAAGTGTATCTCTGAACACAACACGTCGGACCATGAGGTGGATGGGCTACAGCAGCAGAAGACCAGGTGCCACTCATGTCAGCTAAGAACAGGAAACTAAGGCTACAATTTGCACAGGCTCACAAAAATTGGACAATATAAGACTGGAACGTTGCCTCGTCTGATGAGTCTCAATTTCTTCTGCGATACTCAGATGGTCGGGTCAGAATTTGGCATCAACAATCTGAAAGCATGGATCCATCCTGTCTTGTATCAATGGTTCAGGCTGGTGGTGGTGGTATAATGGTGTCGGGGAGATTTTCTTGGCACACTTTGGGCCCATTAGTACCAACTGAGCATTGTGTCAACGCCACAGCCTACCCAAGTATTGTTGCTGACCATGTCCATCCCTTTATGACCACAGTATACCCCATCTTCTAATCTACTTTGCGCCATGTTGTAAAGCACGAATCATCTCAGACTGGTTTCTTAAACATGACAATGAGTTTGCTGTACTCAAATGGCCTCCACAGGCAGCAGATCTCAATCCAATAAAGCACCTTTGGGACGTGGTGGAATGAGAGATTCGCATCATGGATGTGCAGCTGACAAATCTGCAGCAACTGTGTGATGCTATCATGTCAATATTGACCAAAACCTCTGAAGAATATTTCTAGTACCTTGTTGAATCTATGCCACGAAGGATTAAGGCAGTTCCAAAGACGAAAGGGGGCCCAACCCGGTACTAGTAATGTGTACCTAATAAAGTTACCGGTAAGTGTATGTTGAATGGTATCATTCTACAATATTTTAAGAAAATTGATGCTGATGGCTATCCACTTCCATTATGAATGAGTACAAGCAGGAAGTTTATTAAAATTTCTACTTTTTGATCTGGAAAATGGGAAAAGCTTATGACATTGGAAAAACACCAGAGTGTGTAATTCACTGAATATAAAAAACATATGAATTTTCATTTTTAGGTGAACACATAAGCTACACATTAAGACTGTTGTGAAATCTCAAGCAGCAGGGAACGTACCTCCACAGGCATGTTGGACAGTGCTTTATATGTACTGTCATGGGTGATGGAGATTGTGTAGGTGGCCTTTTTGTTGGGCTCATCAAAACATGGAAAAGATTTACGAGCGTCCGTGGGTTCATGGTCTGTTGCAGCGATTTTCCTGTAAAAGATCAGAGCTGCGTTCATAAAACTCAACTAGCGGTTTACATTTACCTCAGTGACCACATGTGGGGAAAATCCAACCACATTTTCATCAACATCTAATCAAGTTTGATTACAACTAAATTAAACTCACCGCCGCTACTAAGTGTATGCGCAACAAAATTGATTTTGGTGGCCTTTGGAATTTTTCACAACACAAGTAAGATGTGATTAAAGTCATGATTAAAGACCCTGAGCAGTTACTAATTTTATCTCTTAAAAGCAGAGATGCCCAAAGTAGGGCCTGTGGGCCAAAGTTGGCCCATTGTAACCTTTGATTTGGCCCACCATCCTGTCTGAGAGCAGAGTGATGACGATGGAAAAGGTTGGGGTGAATGTCTTTAACATAGAGATCATCATTTCTAATTTCACATAAACTTTTTTGTTTGTTTTATCGCTAAACTACAAAAAAGCAAACTGAAATGAAATGTTTTAATTAAATGTTGTAAATGAATCAGATTTTTAAAAATATAAAACTGTCACTCGACAGATAGAAGACATTGGCGAGCAAATCAAGGCAAAGGCTAGTGTAATTCTGTTATAAATGAGATGCTTTTACTGTAATAAGTTCATTATAAAATGTAAACAAAATACTGTATTACAATTACTCATGTAAACTATATTTACCTTCAGCCCACTAGCCTCAATCAAGTTTGGTTTTTGGCCTTTTTATAAGAAAAAGTTTGGGCTGTTATTCAAGCTAGTTATTTTGATTTGAATCAACACAATTATTTTGATTTTATTTTTGGGACAACTTAGTTGTTTTATATTTAATCCACTTAATCCACTTAAATTTGCAAAAAAAATTATTAAGATAACTTAATTTGTGTTGGGAAATATGATGTAATTGTGTTAACACAAGCATTTTTTTAAAGTGTAATGTTTAAATAAATAATTTGAAAAAACTCTACATACTAAATCATCAATGTTTAAAGTCCTCGTCTCCACACCAGTTCACACCTGTTCAATTTTCTCTTAGTTGAAACAGTAAACGGTACATATGTATGGTAAATATCAGACATAATGACATAACTAATCTTGGATTAATAGTCAATGCTATGTTACTCATTGCAAGAGTGAGTCTATGAGTAAATTTATTCCAATTATAACTGGATTAAGTAAAGATCAGGGATGAAAGTAACACCTTTTTGTGTGAAATAATATTCACATTATCCAGTTTATACAAGTACTTTATTAAAGAAAAAAAGAGAACAATTTAATTTTAAACTGCCAAACAAAATACAACTGAAGAGTTCAGATATCAGTTCAGATAAAAACAACATCAAAGTAACATTTGAAGTGTGTCTCAGGCTGCTGTTTAGGTCCAGTAATTTCACTATTATGGCATGGAATATACTCTTTCCATTGCCTTTAAAGCAAAATAACAGAACATAAACATAAGTGTAGTGTATTTCATCAGGGCTCGGTAAGTTTAACATTTGTGGCCATTTCTGGCAAATGTAGATGGCTGCTGGCCCCAGCAGCAGGCTTTGTGGGCTCAAAACTAACAACATCTGACAGATTTCTGCAGGGACACCCCTGTCAGCTCTATGCTATCACTGCCTAAACATACTACAAAAAAACAGAAATGTGGCAAAAAAATCTATTTAAAAAGCTGAATTAGAGTTTGTTTGCCTTATAATAAGCTGTTACAAATATCCCCACCCCAGAAACGCCATAACATATACAGTATAACTTTTTTATGAGGGTTTGCGGTTGATTAGTGCTTAGAATCAAAATAGATCATTTAACTCATTAAACCAGAGAAAGAGAATACTTTAGATTATACAAATCCAAAAATGAAATCTACAAGCTTGCTCAAAGACACATCTGTGGGTTCAAAAAGCACTCGGAGTGTATGATAATGTTGATATTACAATATGTTGTTTTTAAACTGGTCAAATAGCTCTAACTCTTATAACAATCCCGATCTCCCCCAATAGCCTAGACACCGCTCAGTCATCTTATTTTATTCCAATCCCACAAAGTTGGGTTAGTAAATGCTACTGACAAGCAGCACTCTTGAATCGTTTTGCCAATTGTTGCGTTTTCGAGAGAGTCTGTGAGTGAATTGATTCAAATTCTGAATGGATTATACAGTCTAGAAAACATGCAAAAAGAACTTCTTTATTTTACATAATTTATCTCTTATTTACATAAGCATCACTTTCATTTGAGGATCAATTCTCACTTTTAACAAGTTGTTTATTTACTTATTTTTTTTTTCTGTTTATTTGTACTTAAAGGAACTCTCAGATAAAATAGAATCATTTTAGAACTCCCCTAAGCTTAAACAGTTTTACCATTTTTTTTTAATCCATTTTACTTATCTCTGTGTCTGATGGGAGATATTTTGGCTAAACTAAAATTATTGAATCAGATTATACCATTAAAATTAAATTAAAATAAAATTGACCAAAGTTTCCAGTTTTCCTATTTAAAGCTTGACCCTTTTGTCATTTTCGGGCAGAAAAAATATGATTATGAACTGCTCTCATTTCATTGTAATATTCAAGGAAATTTGCTGCTGTACCATGGCTGCAGCAGGTGCATTATTACAAAGTGCCTGGACATCAGTTAACATCCATCAATATAATGGAATGGCAGCAAAAGTTCTTGATTATTATGCCTGATTTAAAGCATAGTTCTTAGCCATAACAGCAACAACAACTCTTAATTTTCAATTGATCTTAGTGCACGATGTAACACGAAGGAACCTTTGAAGAGTGGAGATTGAATGAAAGTGCCGCCCATCAAGTGGTTGAGATTGCTTAGATGTTTAAAATAATAAACAGTAATTTCAAACAACGTTTTAAAGCTTCTTTCACAGCATTTGTATTGACTTTTAGTCATTGACTTGACTGCAGTATTGTAGTGGATTTTTAACAAAAACGGAGCATTGAAGAGGACAGAGTTTTATTTTAGTGCTCTCCTGTTCACAGCAAACTAATGTTATTGGCACACTACTTCTCCATTCTTTTACATTTTTTTGTCGGTTAAACACAAAATAATTGCTTGCTTCAAGAATGCCAATGCCATACAAACAGTGTAAATTTACCTTTGATGACAATTTATGGAGAAATTGTTCAGCTGTTGTTGACTGATTAGTCAACTTTGGTCCTTTGCGCATATAAAAACACTAGATATTTTAAATGTTTTAAAAGTTAAAGTTTAAGTGTTTTGCCGAGGTTAAAACGTATACGCATTTGTTGATCACTTACAGTTAGTTAGTAAGTAATTAATGTGTATTTATACAGTGCATTTATTACGTATGGCCATACATCCAAAGTGCTTTACAATCATGGAGGTGGTCTCCTACTCCACCACCAGTGTGCAGCATCCACTTGGATGATGCAACGCAGCCACAGGACAACAGCACCAGTGCACTCACCACACACCAACTAAAGATTGAGTGGAGAGACAGTGATAAAGCCAATACGGTGGATGGATATGATTGGGAGGCCATGATGGGTAAGGGCCGATGGAGAGAATTTGGCCAGGACACCGGGATAACACCCCTACTCTTTATGAGAAGAGCCATGAAATGTTTATTGACCACAGAGAGTCAGGACCTCAGTTTAATGTCTCATCCAAATGACTGCACTCACTGACAGTATGGTGTCCCTGTCACTGTACTGGGGCATTAGGACTCACTCTGACTGTTAAGTCCAACAGCAACATAGTTTTCCCATGTGGTCACTCATCCAGGTACTAACCAGGCTCAGTCCTGCTCAGTGAGTAACCGGTCTTGGGCTGCAGGGTGATCTGGCTGTGGCCATTATAAGTAATTTAAGTTGAAGACGATATAATTAGCCCTAACTAATATCTTTCATTTTTGCTATGTGTTGATGACAGTAGACATTATGCAGCTTCAATTTAAAGTCTTAATATGTTAATTAGATTAATTAGGCAAATCTGGTTAATTAGGCAAGTCATTGGACAACATTAGTTTGTTTGATAGCCAATTGGGGGAAAATATTTTTAGGGAGCTAATAATATCTACATAAGCAGTTTTACAATTTAAGTCCAGCCAAACTAAAAGAAATAAAACTTTCTCAAGAAGAATTAATAACTCACATGAGGGCTAATAATTTAGTCTTGGGTTGAATCTGACACATCATTTTTTAGTTTTATAACCCTCTAAAATATAGCATGAGATGATATTTAGTGATAAATTAGAAGTGTCCTTTAATACTATAGTGTTTTCGAGCTTGTTAACAATTAGTTTTTCATTTCTGAAAGGGAAAAAGACAAATAGAGCATGAGTTCACAGAGATATTATACTTCATGATTAAATAAGCTTTAGCAGATGTCGATCTCATTCTGGGCACCACTCTGCTTTCTTTCCACGAAATGAGGGTCCAGGTCAGTTCAAAGCATTTATTACAATTTCACACCATTCCCAAATCAGAGCTTTATCTATGTCAATGGCATTTTTCCCACATCAACAAAAATACTACATCATAGGGAGTGTGTTTGAGCACGTTGCATAAGAGTAAGATAAAAAAGGCAATTCCCAAACATTAAATATATCAGCAAGTGTTGCATTGTTCAATTCTTAATGTTGCATTAACTGCATTGGGGTTTTGCATCAGTTTTTTTTTGTTATCTCCCTTCCTCAGAGACTGTTTTATTCCTCAGAGGTCTCAGATCACTGTAGGCTAAATTCAGACATTCAGAGGAAGTGGACTCTTTAGTGTTTACAAATTGGAGGAGCCGAGATGTAGTTGTGAGACAACTGAGATAAAACATCTAAAGAAGTTGCCAAGACATTTGGTGGGAGATGTTGTAATGTGGTGAGAGATTGTTTGCATTAGTGAGATCCAACTGCTGAAGCCAAACAGTAAATCTTAGAAGGTTTTATTGCGCAGAAAGCAAAATCTAAAACTAGCAGGGCAACCATTGTGGGTCACTTCGAGTTCAGAGAGATATACCAGGGTCCACTAGTCATAGTGGTCAACATATTTGTAGCCAGGCCAGGTCACCTAAAGTTTAGGGCAACAGTTTTGTAGTACAAGAGTGACGATATGTGTTCGACTTTGAACAGGGTTGTAAAGAACTAGCAGATCTTGACTTTTGCTATACTCAAGTCATTATTTGACAACTGCTTAAACTGATTATTGCATTACCATGATAAAGATACTTTCTCAGTGTCTCCAGGATTATGTAGTGGCATTTTTTTATATATTAGCAGTTTAAAATAACTGATTTTGTGATGACTTTAAAAAAAATGGCATTATTTGAATCAATGCTTGTATTTTCATTTTATGGTCAGAATTATTATAAATAATTTTAATAAAATATTATATTTAAGACACAGCTTAAGGTTACATTTAAAGGCTTAACTAGGTTAACTAGGCAGGTTAGGGTAATTAGGCAAGTTATTGTATTAAGATGGTTTGATCTGTAGACTATAGAAAAAATATTGCTTAAAAGGGCTAATAATTTTGACCTTAAAATGGTTTATAAAAAATTAAAAGCTGCTTTCTTCTAGCTGGAATAAAACAAATAAGACGTTCTCTAGAAGAAAAATTATTATCAGACATAATGTGAAAATTTCCTTTCTCTGCTAAACATCATTAGGGAAATATTTTTGAAAGAAAAAATTCAAAAGGGGGTTTAATAGTTCTGATTTCAACTGTATCTTCTAACATCATCTAGTTATTTTTGCTTTTGATCTCATAAACCATTGGACAAAATTCTGGAGGGACTTCTGTTTATTCCTTACATCTTTTTAAACCTCCTAAATAAAAAAAATATTCATCACATTGTAAATCTGTCTCCTGCATTGCTTGGCAATTGAATTTAGTTAGGGAAAAACAAAGAAATGTAAAATAATTTCCACACACATTTTCCATGAATAATAATCCTATTTTTAAAAAGATTAAATAATTCAATGTGACACTATAGACTGGGGTAATGGCACTGCAGAAATATTTTTGTTGATTAACAATTTATTTATTAGGCTTACTGTATATTTGTAGGTGTGAAATATATTTGACCATCTTCCTCGTTTTACTGTATTAATGCTACCTAAAATTCTTTAGTTGAATCAAATTCAAACTTTTCTAGTCATCTCAACTCAACATCAGTTAAACTGACTAAAAAATATTAGGTTACTTTTTGTAAAACTTGTGATACAAAACCTGAATAACTGATTACTTAGTTAAAAAAAACATTTGTTGTTGTGACTTTTTGTCATATTGTTTGTTTGATTTTTTCAGTGTAGCTTATATACCAAATAATCTTACCAGGTAAATTTAGATCACAAATCATTCAATGACATATTAAAAGACTGCATTTAAGGATTACAGTGTAGACTATTAATACTAGTCATTGGGATTTTAAGTATATTTACTTTGGCACAATCCTTCTCTATCTTATAACATATCTCCAGCTTTTAGTCATCAACTAGAATCATGTAATAATAAACCCTAATAAAATCTAGCTTATGTGTTATTCTTTTATAAGTTCAATTGAGAATGAATTTGGTGTTTAATTTTTACATTAATATGTTAGTTAGGAAACATATTTTAACATATTTTACATTTCACAGTAAGAAAAGTTACTTGCATCCTTAAAGTAGACAATTTACTTGGATTCAGTGTGTTTTATATATATACTGTATATACTTTGTGAAATGTCAATTTTATTCAATTCATATATCTCATGTACAGTATTAACACCAATCGCACTTCTAACTGGACATGCCATCTAATCATACATGCATTCATTAATTTTCCTTCAGCTTAGTCTCTATTTCAGAGGTTGCCACAACCGACCGAATCGCCAACTTTTCCTTAATATGTTCTACGAAGTGAATGCCCCTCCAGTTGCAACCCAGTAATGGGAAACACCCATACTTTATTACATACACACTCGTACACTACGGCCAGTTTTAGTTTATTCAATTTACCTACAGCGCATGTCTTTGGACCGTGAAGGAAGTCAGAGCATGAAGAAGAAACCCACGTGAACACAGGGAGAACATCCAAACTCCTCACAGAAATGCCAATTGGTCCAGCCGGAATTCAAACTGGCAACCTTCTTACTGTGAGGTGACAGTGCAAACCACTGAGCCCCCGTGCCACCTGCCATCTAATAACCCAACTGAAATGCATTCATACAAAACAGATGTTTTTAAGTGCTTACTTGGTAACTCCATTCTCCTGATACGTGGTCCTGTAGAAGCCAACCAGAGAGCCATTTAACCAGCCCTGGAAGTGCAGAGTGAGGACGTAGTGTTCATCCGGCCCTGTAACGCTCAACTGCTCAGCCGCTTCCACAACCACGTACTCCTGCGGCTTGTATTCAAAGCATTGCTTCAACTTGACAGAGGTCACACCAGACGGGCTGCTGCGCTGTAGTGAAGGCATCACAGTGACAAAAGTGTCCCGGATGTGGAGCCACAGGTGCTGACTGGGCTGAGTCAGTTTCAGATGTACAGACACGTCCCCAGTGTAGATGTCCGTGTTGAGGTCAGGCTCCATATGCAGATCGTAATGGAACGGAAGAATGTAGTCAGGTAATCGGAAATTGCTCCAGCCGCCATTGGTGTTCTCAGATGGTTTGCATGGGCGATCATCAGGCACTTCTGTGGGTAATGGAGTTGGTAATGGTGTTTCCTTTTCGGATGAAGAATTCAAGCTTAAGCCAACTCCAAGTCCCACAGCTACACCTGTCACTACGATGACGGCACAGATGATAGCAGCGTGCTTTCCTCGGATACAGTACCGCTTTTCCTTCTTCTCGAAGTCCAGGCTTTCCATGCTGTCTCGAAGTCAGAAATGTGTACAAACACTCAAAGTTCACCAAGTCAGAACACTCTCTCCCTGCGAACCCACACACTCTCCTCACGCTTCTTTTTGCTAGCAAAGAGAGAAAACAGCTGTGTCTGGATTTAAAAATGCACACCGTCATGCAGGGCGGCCTGTGGGAGGCTCAGAGGTTAACGCGGGAGTTAAGTTTCAGCACAGTCCAAAAAATTGCTCTGATCCCTGTGAGGTCACAGCTATGCACTGGTCAAACGTCCAACGCCAAGAAGAGATCCTAAGCTGGTGTGTGTGGCAAGTCCTCACACTGAATCTCACGCTGATAATGCTGATATATTGGGAACAGGGGGATGAATTTGTACCGCCCTTCGGTTAAACATAAATCCAAATATGTTAATCAGCAGTCAAAGAAGAATGATCGCAAACAAGCATCCGAGAGAGAGAGAGAGAGAGAGAGAGAGAAAGATGTGGGGGAGGGAGGAATAGAAAAGCTGAGTGTAAACGGAAAGAGTAATTATGAGGAGAGGAAGGGGCTTATGAAAGTGGACTGGGGAATGTAAAGGTTAAGTGGTTAAACAAATTATATCCGGGATTTGTCTACATGAGTTGTACTGTAAATGATCCTTTCATTACAACATCTAACATTTTAAGAGACAAGTCTTGTGAGATTTTCTTTAGTTTTTGTACGATGAGCCAGAACACTCCTATGCTTTGAAACACTCCTATGCTTTACATGTTTGTTTATATAACTGCTGTTTTCATTTACAGCACATCTTTTTTTTTTTAGATAGATATTTAATATATATTGTTTAAACTGATGAACAGCAGCTATGCTAATTATCTTATTTGTTCTCTACTTCCACCATTGATGTGATGCAAGTCCTGTGAAGAGATGATGCCAACCATAAAGAACTTCTAGAGGTCTCCATAATCCTGGACCAGGCCATATCCTGAGCAAATGCTGTGGTGGTCATGAAAAAGCGAAGAGCATGAGACTGATTCCTGAAAGACCTAGTGTGGGCCAGCTTGAACACTCGCCGGTGACCAACTCACACCTGCAGCTTCTTCACGATAGTTGTCTAGCGTTCTCCAGCTTCCGGTGTCTAGACTGCAGCTCTGTACAAGAAGTTTGGCCTGAGAAGAAATGGTTGTGCCCAACTGAGCCTGGTTTCTCTCAAGGTGTTTCCTTGACTTTCATCAATTGGTGTAGTTTGTTCCTCACCACTGTCGTAACTGGCTTGTTTGGTTTGGGACCTGTGGAGCTGCGCAACAATGGATTTGCTCATCAGTGTTTGGACTCTGTAAATTGCATTGTAAAAGTGTTGCATTGTAAAAGTGATATAGAAATAAAGATGAATTGAATTGAACATGATGATCAAGCACAGGTTTATCTGTTATCATTGATCATTTCCTAACAAGGCCACATATTAAGGTCTGGGATTATAAGATAAGCAAACAATACATGTTTGTACAAAGTGTTTTGTGAGTAAAATCGAGGCGTGATTTCCCCCTTCCCCACCAGCTTGCAATCACATTGTACTTATCTTTCCGTAATTACGATGCAGTTGTTTAGAAGAAAACGGGAAGAGATGTGCTCTCGCTCAATGCAATGGAGCACACTTCTTTTGTTATATTGTGGAGGATTATTTTGAGTCATTTAGTATGCAGTGACACACGGCTGAATATTTCACTGAACAGATCCACCGCTTTTGTTACTCATAAATTTACAAGTCATCATGCTGCATGCATTAAAGATCTATCTTTTTAGTAAACCATACACACAATGCATCACATACAGTAAGTGTTGGATGCATGAGTGTGCTCCATGCAGGTGAGTGAAATTGACAAACTACCAGTGGGACTCTTTCTGTCTTAATACACCAGGGACTTTGTTAGAAATACTTATCTGTTTAATATGTTTGTTTTTATGTTTGTTTACGAGTACTAATTTCCTTTATAGCACTTCATTTTCGCATTGACATTTAGCTATGCTAATAATTTTCTTTGTTCGCTTTTCCACCAGGGGATGTCCATCCTGAGGCCTCTACACTCTCAGAACAAAAAGGTACAAAGTGGTACAAATAATGTTCCTTGAGCAAGAGTTTTGTACCTTTGTAAAAATTGTACTCTATATGGTACAGAAAAGACCTCTTATAGTACTGTTGTGTGCCTTTTATGGTACAACTGAAATGAAGGTACACAATTGTTCTCATTTAAAAGGTACAAAAGTGTTGAAGAACTCCTTCTTTATTACAATATCTATGAAAATAAATATGACAACTGGAAAAAGGCAAAGTGATTTTATAAATGAAAACATGAATAAAACATGAAAATTTAAAAGTATATCATGAAACTTATAAGCACTAATTATTAAGTTCTATAAAATACAACAACTAGTAAAACATACAACCATAGGTATTGTGAACTAAACATTTAAGGCATTTTAATAAATGTTTGTAAGTATTTTTGACACTGTTAAGGTACAAAATGTCTTGTCACTGTAGTGGTACCTTCATAGATCAGATTTGTACCTTTGATGAAGGTACTATATTGTTATCTGCGGGTTTTAAAGGGGTGGTCCAGAACGTAATTTTAAGGCTTGGTTGTGTTTATAAGATGTAAAGCAATGTGTGCTCATGTTCCACTCGAAGGAAATCACGTTATTTTTTCATATATCTCATTTTGATTATACACAGCTACTCAGCTAACATGAAAACGACTGTCAAATTTCCTAGCTCCTCTGAAAGGCCCGCCCTTAAGTGACTCTGATTGGTCATCGTCATAATGTGCTGCTATTCGAGGATCGGCCCCACATCATGCCCGTAAAAGCACGCGCTTTTCTGCTGTGTAAACCTCAGTCAACTTCCTGCCTGCTCACTAAAATAAAATCTGACAAGTGTCTGTAACGAGTGAAAATAAGGTGCGGCTCCTTTAAGAGATCTCGTCTTTGTGTGTGTCTGTGTGTGTCTATGTGTGTGTGTGTGTGTGTGTGTGTGTGTGTGTGTGTGTGTGTGTGTGTGTGTGTGTGTGTGTGTGTGTGTGTGTGAATGTTGTCTGCGTCTATGTGTGTGTGTGTGTGTGTGTGTGTGTGTGTGTGTGTGTGTGAATGTGTAAACTTTCTGTAACAAGCGCATGTGCAAGGGTGTTTTTTTTCTTTTTCTCTAATGCTCGGATTAAGTTATATTTTGTACTATATCAGTCACAAAAGAATAAAGCACAAGATGTGGGATGAGATCTGTGTGAGCCTTGATTTTATATTCTGCTGCTACCACGAGTCAGGTAAGCTAACCTGTATTTTTTTAACTCTATGCGTTACACGAAGTTTTTCATAAATATCCGGAATATGCAGGTGTAAATAATATGAATCATCCACATATCTTTTGCGACTTCATCATCTGAGATGTGAAACGCATGAAAAAGGTGACTGAACACAATCAATGCAGTCGCGCGTGCACACACATAATAGACACGAACATGCTGGTGGAGTGTGTGTTTGTGTGTTTACAGCAGTTAGACTGAAAAATATGAATTTGTAGCTCAATTATTTGCCCACAAAGCAGCATTTTGCATTGTTTACATTGTTGCTACAGCATACCGTTAACGCTAGACACTGTACATGTCATGTTCAATTTTAACAAATAAAAACACTTACAGGTTGTAGTTCACAGCTTCTGCTTTGAGGAGATTTTAACCGAATCCAGCACTGAACTGGAAGAGATTCTGGAAGCTGTTTTGTCAAATCATGCTTGCTGTGTATTTTATAATTCTCTGGAACATAATTAATATTGAACTGTAGACACTTCTGTCTTTGTGTCGTGTCCTTTGGAAGCCCAAATATAGAAGCAGACGAAGCTCTGTGGAAACTTCAATGTTTGGACGCATTTTTAGCTTCATCTCTGCTATAACATTACAGCGCCTCTGGCCACGGCCCTTACCTGTGCAGTTTGTATGCGCAGTAAACGAACCTTTGTGATCTCACAGGGGGCGGAAGTATTTTTTGTAGTGCCCAAAATTTGTTTATTGTAGGCTTTGCTAAGCTAACTCTGTAAAAACCAAGGTCTCCATTTGCATTGAACTTGTTGTCGTTGTTGTTTATGTTCACATAGCTACATTATACATCAACTAAAGTTTAAAATATGACATCATAGTGGACCACCCCTTTAAAAACCAAAGGTACGTTTTGGATTTCCATTATACAAATCATGTCCTTAAGGTACAAACTGCACTGGTAAAAATTAGTTTCTTTGGTACTATTCTGTTCCATAAAAAGGTACTGCCCCAGTGACAAGGGTTTGTACCTTCTTTGGTACAACATTGTACTATTTCTTCTAAGAGTGTAGATTGTGCAGTGCCATTGATGGGATCCAAGACTTGTGAAAAGATGCCAACTATCGAAGACTTTGAGTAAAACACAAATACACTACATTGAACATATACACGTAGACATCACCCATTCACTATGTAACTGCAGGTTATGTTTATATATAATAACTTTAATTAACTAGTAACTAATAACTTTTTTACAGTTAAAGTTATTAATAACTGATAAAGTTAAGGCAATAACCATAACTTTTCTGATTTTGATTGAAATGCAGTAATGTGCACCTTTTGTAAAGTTGCTTTGAAACAATAATTATTGTGAAAATCGCATTTAAAATAAACTTGAATTGAATGTATTTAGAGGTTTGAGAGGTCGCAGCTGTAGTGTGGATTGCATCGTTGATAAATTATCACAGTTCCTGTTCATTGGCAAGATATATCCACAGGGACGCAGTGCGGTGGCGCAGGGAGTAGCGCTGTCACCTCACAGCAAATTCGCTAAATTGAGCCTTGGCTGGGCCGGTTGGCATTTCTGTGTGAAGTTTGGGGTGGGTTGGTGTAGGTTTCCACTCTGGTTTCTCTCACAAGTCCAAAGACATGCTCTATAAGTCAATTAAATAAAGTAAATTGGCCATGGTGTTTGTGTGAAAGAGAGTTTATGGGTGTTTCCCAGTGAT